GGGGGCCCGGGGCGGCTGTCACCTCCCGCCGGGCACCTCGGGATGAACGAGAGAGAAGCCTCGTTCGCTCTGGTGGCTGCGTGTGCTAACCTGAAGTGGTTTCTCGGTTATTCCCCATGGCGAGCGGGCGTACGGAAAAGGCGCCGGGCTTTTTCGCTTGAACGTGGCGCTGGCCAGGAGAGCGGTGGCAGCTCAGTTCCGAGCTCTCTCTTTTTAGTGCCCGAGATGCAGCTGTTTTAAAGCATGGAGGCACTTTTCCACTGGTGAGGTAAAGCGTAACTTGATATTTATAGCTATGTTTTAGCTGGTGTGGAATTCAGGAGTATTACTCAATTTGTCATGGCCTGAGTGCAGGGTGTGGACACCAGACAGGGAACCTGGAAACAGACCGAAGAAAGCTTGAAGTGCCCTGTCGAACCACTGCCATAGAAACTGTTCTTTGCACTAAGCTTGAGGTTTATTTATGAACTGCATTTCTGGTCTCAAAAGCATGACAAGGCATTTAGTAAGTGTGGGAAAGTTTTGATCCAAGGCACGAGCTGCTACTCTGTAGTAATAATGCAGACAAAGTCTTGTTTTGGAATGGAATGCCTTCTCCTTTCACACCAATATTGACTTTTTGGTTTATCTCCAACAGTTCTCTGACACAGGCAGCAGAAAAGAACATGTTAAAATCACAAGTGAGTCCAAGCCAGGGTTCCTGGAGAGGCTTAGCGAGACTTCTGGAGGCATGTTGATGGGACTTGTGACATTTCTTCTGTCTTTCTACCTTCTTTTTACCAATGAAGTAAGTGAAATGTAACAACTGAGGTGAAATTCAACTAGTTTTGCATTTGTAAGCTTACTAAAGTGGTCATGTTAAAGCTTTTTACTTCATCCATGAGAAGAGGACATTATGTCTGGAGAGCCTGGCGCTTAGGCTTGGGATATAACAAGAGCGAAACCACAGGCCCACAGAGAGTGTTTCTTTAGAACTGAGTGTAGTAGTGATGGTGGCACTGTATGATGGTAAGACCAAAAACTTGTAAGTAGATACAGAAACAGAATGTAGTATTATTGAAAGAGGCTTGTATGAGCCACCTGCATTCCCGTTTTCTCTCTTTTCTTGGGATAACATAAGGTCCTCATTTCTCATGTTATTACAATTGTTTTAAAGGAATTTATAGGCCACGCTGCAAGACTAAGACTGTTAATTATTTTTCAGTGTCTTGGGTTTAGATTGAAAAAATAGTTTAAGTAGGGAATCCTAACACCCTACTGTTGCAAACACATATTTTTGACAGTTTTGGAGTGGAGGAGCAGGATTCTATGAATTTTCATGTAAGACTTACTTTTATACCTCTACAAGAGGGAAGGGATCTACTCCAAATTTTGGGGAGTTTGCAGGAGAAAACACACCATAACATGATGGTAAGATAGGGAAAACTTCTGCCAAGTAGTTGCGTGGGTCTGCGGGAAAAGGACCATAACTGACATAATTTTTTTGGCTATTCGTGAACAAGGTAAGAGGTGAAGAGCAGTAATTTTAGACTCATGTAGAAACAATCCATGTGTTTTTGAGGAGCTTAGTTACTGTTAATGGTCATGTTGCATGGGTAAGATGAACTGCCTCAAACTCAGGCAGACAGAGGAGGAGAGCGTAGAAGTGTGAGTGTGTTTTTAGAGCACGGCTGGAGGCTGAATATACAAGCATTCCTTGCGGTCTTCAGATCACTTGTCTGCCAACCTTTTTTACAAAATGCTGCTCTGCCATAATACTGCTGAACCATTGATTCTTCACAACTTGATTTTTGCTATTCTTGATTGCAGGGTCGAGCCTTAAAGACAGCCAAATCTCTCGATGAGGGGCTCTCTCTAGTGATCCCTCTTGATAGCATCCACAGTGTGTCTCAGCAGAATGAAGGGAGGTTGGTGCATTTAGCTGGTGCTTTAAGTACATCTAAGGTAAGTAGAGTCTTGAAGACAGGAGTATTTCAAGTTTGGAGGGAGGGAAGAGTCTTTGCCAATTAAAGTTACGTTTGATATCCAGTGAGAAGACATGTAGTCTCTCTCCTTCTCTGTAAGCATTGCTGCCTACAGCACAAGATTTGGTTCTTGGCTGGGAGTTGGGGAGGCGTCGTGCAATCTTGGTCTCTCTCCTCCAAAGAAACATCTATCTGTGCTTACCTTCCCATGGCCTGTGGTGGATAATTCCAGTTCTTCTTTGTATAGGGAACCTGTTGTATGTTCATGATATTGTAATGTCTTTAGGCTTCTGCACTACAGAGTTTCTGCAAGTTCTGACTTTTCAGTAGCAATGTCATTTTCTGTGGTCAGCCTGCATTGCAGAAGATAACAAAGCACAGTAGCTTCCAGCAAAATAAAGTCTCCCCTTGGTTTAAACACTTAAGCCTGCAAACCAATAGCCAGCATTTCTGGTTTTATTCTTCACTATGGCAATAATTTTTGATGATGATTCTTTAAGTCACGTTTATCAGTGATATAAAGATATATTCCTTTTTGTCTTTCACAATTCATAAATTTCATTTATTCTGTATTCAGCTGTGTGTAACATACTACTAACTATGTGAATCGAGGTATGTAACGAGTTTGATAATAAAAGTACAGTGTTTTGAGCTTGAGAGGTGCAGCATTTATACTGACTCCTATTTTGTTTAATTTTTAAATAGCCTTTGTTTGATCCCAGCTATGGGCTCTCCATCCAGGCTGTCAAACTTAAGCGTAACGTGGAAATGTACCAGTGGGTAGAGTATGAAGATTCGACGTAAGTGAAAGCAGTTTATAGAGTTGTTATATTAACAGAATCCCATCCCTTTTCTTTTTCTTTTTTCCTCTCTCCATCTCCAACAGTAAAACTCCCAACAAGTCTTTACAGCAGGAGAGTTCTAGAGTGCTTGGATTTTTTATAGAGTCACTTTATTGGTCAGTGCTTCATAATTTGCGTCAGATAAAATTTGTGTAACACCCAAGCCCTTTCATCAGATATTTCCACTTCCTAATTTTGTATGCTTTCATACAGGCTTTCTTGGCCTCCGTGCTGCAGCTCTGGGTTTTTTGTTTTCATTATTGTTTTCTGGTGCTGGGATGCCTCACAGCCCATTGATCTGTTTTGTCTTATATGTTATCAACAGAATTCAAAGATCTTTACTGATTTTTTAAAAAGAAACAAAACCCAAAACCCACTCATGTTTTTCCCAAAGACTCAGTTGATTTCTATTGTTTTTCGTGTTTCTAATGCTTCTTTTATCTATTGATATACTTTCTGCTCTTCAGGATTTCTGTAACTCCACCCCCATAATACTAGTTGATTATCAGAATCAAAACCTTTGTCCCAAAATACTTGGTCCTGATTTTTTTAAAAATAAAACTTCACAATCCTCTTTTTCCCTGCATCTACTAAGCCTTTCCTGCTGCCATTCTCTAAAACTTGATCATGGACCCCCAAGCCAATTTCTTTCATTGTCCTCAGGAAGGAAATAGACTTTTTTTTTGCTTAATCCAGAAACTCCATCATGTTTTCTCTTGGCTATCTTTGTTTCTTCCACAGTGACAGTGATTTGCTTACTGGGGTTTTTTTTGTTGGTCTGTTGTTTGTTATTGGTTTGGGTTTGTTTAAATATCCCAAAGTGGTCTTAACTTTTGTTAGAAAAGTAAGTGAACTCAACAATTTCAATTATGAATTCCAGAATAAACTTTGATAAACCCATCGAGCCCCGAACTGCCTGGTTGATACCTACAGCAGAACATACACTGGAATATTTCAGAGCAGTTAAAAAACCCTGTTATATCCAGTTGAATCTAGAAGTCATATTTTTTTCTCAGACTTGTGGATACATGAGTCTTTTGGGGATGTGACTGAAAGAAATCTCTTCATTTCTTTGGTACTTATTGTGCAGCCTGAAGTATTTAATTAAACTAAGACATATTTTCTTGATTTTTAGAAGACTCTGTTACCCCTTATCCTTAATAATCAATGCTAACATTAATTTCTAGCTGTGAAAGTAAACTGCAAAATTTAGTTTCTTGAGAGACACCGATTATAATAGGCAATATTGCAGTCTAGGTACCTTTTCAAGGGGATTTACAAAACTGATGAGATATTAACAGTAGTTGCAAGCAGAAGGGGAAAACATTTCTGTTTATTAGTAGTAATTCCACTGACAGTGGTATAAAGTTAGTATGTAGGTCTCACTCTACAGACTCTTCAGAATAAGTAATTCAGAGCAGAGTTAGTTGTAAAGATAAGTTTGTGTTGCCAGTGAGCTGTCTGTGCATTTCATTTGGCAAGTGTACTCTGCCCTGAGCAGGGGTGTGTGTGCACTGTTTTGGTTCTCATCCCACCCCTTTTCTCTGCAGGGAGTATGAAGAGAATGGTGAGATTAAGAAAGAGACAAAGTATTCCTACAGTAAGTGGATCAACAGAAAGTTCCTTTCTTTTTATGCATGTGACTTTCGACTTTTATGTGTGCGTAATTTTAATTTTTGTTGTAAACACCTGATTTTCTTTTTGGGAGAGAAGGGAAAGGAATATGAAGAAAAAAGCAAAAATTGTTTCCTAAACAAAAGGTGGGATCTCCTTGATCTTGTTGAGATAACTGAGGTGACAAGAGGTGTGCTGTTAACGAGAAACCGCTACAGAGTCTTGTCTCGGAACTCCTAGAGGTTCAGAGCAGCATCCAGGGACTGGATGCTCTGGCAATCAGACCCATAAGTGAGGGGAGATGGGCAGAGATGGGAGTGTGTTCAAAGCTACACCTGAGATTTTTCTTCAGAAGTGGAGAAATTTGTCATACGTTATTCATGAGGAGAGGAGAATAGACGGGGAAAAGCAGTGCAGCTCCAGCCTGTAAAAAAACCTGTGGAGAGTCTGTTTAGATGTTGATATCAGCTAATGAAAACCACCAGCAGCTTCTGATGTGTGCTGTGGCTTTTGCCAAATCCTTTTTTTGGCAGGAGCAGAATCGAGAGCATTATTCTGATCTACCCAGTGGCAGAAAAATACTCTGAGTCATCATATATCTGGAGATTGGTCTCTCTGCTTCATTTATCTCTGATGAAAGCACATGGATGTGTAACGTGGGTGTGCAGCAATTCCTGCGTATGATCATAAAAATACCCCACGTCAGTGAAGCATGGGACCTGGCACCATGGAGATACATAAGGAGCAAAGCTGGGGGTTGTGAGCTGGGAAAAACAGTCTTACAGTAGCAGGGAGCAAAAAGAAATGCCATTTAAAAAAACCCAAACAACAACACAACAAGAAACACAGCTGCCCTCTCAAAATTTATGGCTTCTGCCCAGTAAAAGTCTGTATGTTATTAGATGTGGTGGGTTAGCCTTGGCTGGCAGCAAAGGGCCCACACAGCTGCTAGCTGACTCTCCCACCCAGTGGGACTGGGGAAGAGACTGGGAAGAACAGGAATGAGAGAGCTTGTGGGTTGAAATAAAGGTGGGGAGATTGCTTAGCAGTTACCATTGTGAGCAAAACAGGCTGGACTTGGGCAAAAGTGATTTACTGTCAATTAAAATAAATAGTTGATTATAGATTAGGTTGTTGGCAAAACACATCTTCTCTCACCCTTTCCCCCTGGCCCTTGTTATCACCACCAGTTACAGTCACTCCCGTTAGTGGGGCAGGGGTGGGAGTGTGTTTACAGTCAGTCCGTGGTGGTTTCTCTGTGGCAACGCTTTTCTTCTCACACTTTTCCCCTGCTCCATGGACTCTCCCCAAGCTGCAGCGAGTATTTGCTCTGCTGGGGAGCACCTCCTCTGACTTTGGTGTTTCTTCTGCTGTTTCTTGCTCCTTTTTGTTCCCTCCCTTCCCCATTTGATATTTTCTGCCCTTACTTAAAAACGTTTTCACAGAAGTGTCCCACACTTAGCTGATGGGCTCCGCTGTGGCCTGCAGTGGGATCGGTGTGGAGCCAGCTGTGTCCAACACAGCGCAGCCTCTTACCTCTTCCCACAGAGACCACCCCTGCAGCAGCCCCCCGCTACCAAAATTTTGCCACGTACCCAATGCTCCAGAATATCCCTCACCATGATACCTACTCCTCTGTTTAACCAAACTCCCTTTCCTTTCTACTCCTTCATGGAAGTAGAGCAATCTGTATTTAATACGGAAGCTGCTCAACAAAGGGATTCTAATATTGCAAGAGTTGTAAGGAACCTACTGGAGTCTGTTCTGGAGATGTGGGAAGGCTGCTGTGGCCCGAACAAAGGCACCGTTGTGCATTCTGACAGCAGCACATGCAGGTACTATCTCTATCTGTTACCTCACTGCTCTGAAATCTGCTACTTCCAGCAGAACTTGCAGCCTTTCTTCATAAAACCAGGTTATTCCCAAAGAGTGGAACCAGGAATCAAAACCTGATTTTGGAAGATGCCAACAGCAAAGCTCCCACTGTGCAAAGTTGAGTTAAAACTTTATCCCCAAAATTTTTTTTATTTTTTTCCTAAATCCTGCCATTCTTTGTTAGTAGGCCAAGAGGATGGATTTAAGTATCAGTACAGACTATCACATTTATACCCTGATGCAAACAGTATTACTAGAAGTGTAACTTGGAACTGATTGATTGAGATCTAAGTAGCTAAGATCTGAATGGCAATTCTTCCTGTCTTTTGCTCAACCTTCGTATAATTCTCTTTAGATACCGAGTGGAAATCGGAAGTTGTGAACAGCAGAAACTTTGATCGAGAAATTGGACACAAAAACCCTAGGTAATTTACCACCTGGCACAGTCCCTCTAGGTTCTGTCACTGTGTCTGAGCAAAGATGAGAGCTAAATAACTGATCTTCATGACACAGTGAAGTAGATGGAAACTTTTAGTCTTTGGGCAGTTGGGGGGATTAAGGCATAGAGAAACTAGAGAGCAATTCAAAGCTGCCCGGTGGAAGCAGAATTAAGCTGCCAGTGGATATTGATAATGTTGGGATGTCAGGCTGTTATATTGCCTCCATGTAGCTTCCAGGTAGGAGAACTTGAATGAGTTCCTTTCTGACGTTTTTGTCTGTTAGTGCAGCCTGTTACTAATTGTTTCATTTCATGTAAGTCCAGGGTTAGAATAGGAGGCATTCCGTCAGCTTGTCACACCTCTCAACTCACAGGCTTATGTGTGGCAATCACCCATATATAATTTGTTTCACGTATCATCTGCAGCATTTTAGCTAAACTACAATGTGGCATCTTTAATGATCAGTTTTAGCTTGCTTGTCATTCTCACAGCACCTGCTTGGTTCCTTAGGATGCAGGATGCCATCTGGCAAATTACGTTACGTGTAAGTGAAAGATACAGCTGGACAGACAGTAGGGCCAGGATTTCAATAAAAGTTTGAACTTTGCAAAATCTCTGGAACATTGTTTTGGTTCTGTGGGCTCATCCAAATACACTGCCCTTTGTTTAGAAGTACTACTTAAGGAAGTAGTTCTAAGTCCCAACTAGCAGACTTGTAAGTGAGAGACGATGGAAAAAAGGATGCACAGATGCCATACCTGCTTTGTCTCCTCCCCATGCATGTTTTTTTGTTAATGGAAATTCTCCAGCTCTTCTCCAATAAATGCAAATATCCAGTTGAGAGTAAGAAACCCTTTTGACTTAGTGCTGTTGCAGTCTGTCATTTAAAAAGTCGTGCAGCTAAGAACATTTCATTTGAGTGTATTGGTCCCCACCAGAGACCGAGCATGACTGTGGTGGATCCTTGGCGTGAGGCAGTGTAGTGCATGCAGACATACTGAACTGCAGATTCCTGTTCAGAATTCGTGCCTAGCATTAATGAGACTCTTTGAAATGTAAGCTGCATGACTTCTTCAATGCATCCATCTTGCCTTTTTATGCAACTTAGACATCTGTGAAAGTAAAATCTGTTGTTTACTGCCGAGGAGATTTTAGTAGTACTATTTATGAGAATGAAGTCAAGTCTCTAAGTAAAGGGTTCCTGAGCTTGGAATTGAATTAACTTGGCTGTGATATAGAAGTGCCTTTATATGGAGAAGGTTTGTGATCCAGATTTCTTAATTTAGCAGGTAAGATGTAGCAGTTGACAGTAGAAGCTAAATAAATTCCGGCTAGAAATAAAGTGCATTTATGAGCGCAGTTAAATGTTGCAGGAATTCATCTGGGAATGCAATTAATTGATTGTCACTCAAAACCTCTGTATCGCCATAGAACAGCTTCTGAAGAGCTGAACTCCTTTTCAGCCCGTTAAAGGTTCAGCACAGAAAAGAATAATGAAATCCTGTGGTATGAATGGAAGGTCAGGCCAGGGTCAGAGACAGTTGTATCTTGTCTTAACTTATTTTAATGGCTCCAACACTGTGAAGTTGGGACACAGTTTCTTGACAGATCTGTTTTCACATCACGACAGCCATTTAGCAATCTGAGTTGCTCCTGCCGTTGGGCGCAGTACCTTTTATGTGCTCAGTATTGCATACTGCAAATCAAGAGTTTGGCCGTAATTCCGGGACTAATCAGGGATTCTCTCTGTTCCTTAGTGCCATGGCTGTGGAGTCTTTCACTGCTGTTTCTCCTAACGTCCAGGTTGGCAGCTTTGTTCTTTCCCAGGGTAAGGATTGCTTTGTGCTGGCTTTGGGTCTGCTGTTGCATCAGCAGTGGACTTTGGTTCTTTCCACAAGGGTGGTCATTTCAAGTGGTGATCGGGAAGCCAGCCAGCAAATGTGCTCTTCCAAGTTAGACACAGAACCTGAGCTTGATTCTCTGTTTTGCTTAGGTCTCGTGGATAAAATTGATGACTTCAAGCAGCTGAGTTTGTCAAATCTTGAGGATCCACATGCTGATGTTACTCGAGGGGGAGATTACTTTTACCACAGTGAGAACCCCAGACGGCCAGAAGTAAGATGAGAAAGATAAACCAAAGCAGCAATTGCTGTTATGTGAAAAAAAAAGTTGGGGCACGTCCCAATTGTGTTTGAATATGCAGAAATCAGGAGTGCCTGTAGGGTGACACCCTTAGTACAGCCCTTCAGCACGAGTGCTTCTCTTGCAGGAAGCTTCTGATCCTGCTTCTTTGTCTTTTGTTTTCTCCAGTTTGACATGCTTTTAAAGGGAAAGATGCGGGATGGTGCTGGGAGGTGGGTTCTGCCTCTGCTTTGCTGCACTAGGCAGAGTACAGTGCAATTGCTTGTTGTCATCTTGCTCTGCCTGCCCTTCTCTGCCAAAGGATGACATGATGAGGGATGAACACAGAGTCTCGTGAGTGTTAATGTGTCCTGCAGCTAAGTCAGAAGAGGTGTTGCAAAACAGCATTTGAGCTGTACTCTTTCAGTTATCAACTAGGCCTGAAAAAAGTACAGCTTGGAAATCGCTCTGGGTGTCCTCTGGCTGGACATAAACGTTCAGAAAAAGTCTTGATACATACAGGGTGTTCCCATCCAGAGCTGCCTGTTCTTGACTTCCAATATCCTCTTGTTTGCAGGTAGGAGACCTTCGTGTCTCGTTCTTCTACGCGGGTCTGAGTGGAGACGACCCTCACTTGGGCTCTGCTGATAAGGTGAGTCTTCAGCTGTTTCTATATTTTGCAAACTCTGTTCCCAACTCAGCAACCAGTAAATATTTTTCCTTTTCTTCCAAGGTGACTGTGATTGCTCGCCAGCGAGGAGATCAGCTGGTTCCGTATCATACGAAGTCTGGAGATGTCCTGCAGATTCTGTACCCTGGGGATCTCTCTGTGGAGGTGAGATAGCACAGGCTATTAGTGAAGGGTTAATACTGGAGATGTTAATGCAGAAACAGGAGGGGAGTAAGCTCTCATTCTCCTCTGGAGAGGAGAGGAGGAGATACTTGATGTCAGCATTGGCTTTTCTGTCTTTTTTTTTTTTTTTTTAGGACAACACATTATAGCCTATGCTTGCTGTCCAGGTTTTTGCATGTTCTTTGTGTTGCAGCAAAATTCTGTGCTTCGCCCACTAGCACGACATGATTTGGCTATAGTTATTACTGATGGTTTCCTTTTTTTAAAAAAGGGAACCGTGGCTAAAATAGCTATGTATGTATTTTTGGGGAATCCTTGTGTTGCTGCTGAACATCGGTTGCTTTAAAGGCTGTTTCTGTGCCTTCTTATTTTGTTTTTATTTGCACTTTGGTAGTTTCCCAGTTACACGTGCAAGCACATGCTTTTGAAAAGGTCATATGTAAAAATAGGAAAAAACAGGCTTTAATTAAACAAACGATGGGAGCTATCTTCTCTTCAGCTCCTAATAACAGGAGTTTAGGCTTGTTTGAAATGTTTATTGCTATTCGGTCTGAGAAAGAACCTCCAGGCAGAGCATTATGCTCCAGTAAATCCTGCATGCTCCAGCAATTTGGTGATTCATTTACTCCTTTTAGTAGGTTTCTTTCCATTAATGATTGTTTCATGCCCTGCCACAAAAATACCACGTCAAGAATTTACAGGAGCTCCCACAAGCAGTTAAAAAGGCCTTTGTTTTGAGCTGCAGTAGAATCAGCTCTCTGCTGTGAGCTTGGAATCTTCATTACATATATTTTTAATTTGTTGGAAGTGAACTTAATACAAACGAGTAATTCAGAGTACTCGTGAGTACGAGTCGTCAATCAGTCATTCACGTCTTTTTCCCATTAAGTGTTTTCCTATGTCTTAGCCATCTTCATGTGTGCGCTTTGTCCAGCCGGAGAGGCACACAACCCCTTTTGAACAAAGTCTTACTCAGAAGTCTTGCAAATAAATGCTTTGCTTTGCCCGATGAAATACACACATACACACTTCTTAGCTTTTCTTCCCTACATACTGCTTGTGTTCTTACGTAGACCTTTCCTTGAGCCATCAGTGCATATTGTTGCCTTTTCTCTCTTCCTCCCCACACAGTGAAGTCAGACCATTCCTCCTTTACCATGTTTACTTATTAGCTCCTATTTTCGCACAGGAACATTGAATGTATCCATTTGCAGCAAAACCTGTGTTCTTTCTGCCTGTAGTTCCAGGGTGTTAACTGGTGCTTGTTTAGCTGTCTTCATTTACAAAAATGCTGGTTTCCCTTGTGCTGCACTTTGAAATCTGTCGTAGCGTGTTGTGATACTGCGCAAAACCACCCTGCAGAACGAGCTGCAATGTATCTTCTACAAGAGAATTTGTACTCTAAAATGCTGTCGGCTCTGATTTGCTCATAATAGCCTGGAATCTCGAAAGAAATTGAGGAAGAGGCTGCATATAATACTGTTTGCTTTCAGGAAGTGTTTCAGAAAGAGCATCAGAGTAACACCATGAAGACCTGGGCCCTCCGTGCAGCAGGCTGGCTGTCAATGTTTGTAGGCATCAGCCTAATGACTCGAATCTTTTACACTTTAGGTAAGTTTTTACAGAAAAGTAAAATAATTTAGAAATGGGTTCATAACCCCCTAGAGAATATTCTCTTTTCACGTATGCAGTTAATTATATTTGGAGGTCAGGAATTTGGTTTGAACTCAGATGGAATTTGATCTGAAAGTCACTGTAGGCATTTGGAGGCAGGTTCCAGAACTGGATGGTTGCTTTGTGAACATTTGGGGAAAAAAAAATAAAAAAGGCAAATATCTATTGCCCGTCTCAGAAGATCCCAGCCGAGAGCTTACCAAAACCAGAAGCCGAAGCACATGTTGGGCTCTTCCTTTCAAGTCTAACTCAAGGTGCTGCAGTCCAATTACTTTCTACACCTATACGCAAGTGGTCCTTGCAGCAGATCTTAATTAGTAGTTGTACAGTAACATGCCTTTGTGTCTGGTTATCACACGCTATTGTGGATGAACTGCAAAGAAAGTTTTTGTTTATCCCTTTAACACAGAAAAATTTTGGAATAAAAACTTAAAGAAAAGCAGGACTGCATCAAACTTTTACAAACATCAGACATCAAAGCCATCACTTGCTTTGTAGCTGCTAAGTCTTTTTTTTTCTTATTTATACGTATACATGCTACTGCAAGATCTGTTGTTGGCAGAAATTAGTTTTTGTGCTGGTGTATTGCATCAGTTGCTCTAGACTTGCTCCATAGCTGCAAAGCTTTCAGCCTATGCTGCCTCTCGAGTGTTGGACAGACTTAGTTTTGGATGACTTCCTGTCTGAAGAGATGAGGACACTGTTGCCTGGTGTATTTAGTTGTTGCTTAATTATCAAATGCCTTGAGGATACTCTGCTGAAATGCTTTATCCAGCGCTCTTGATTTTGAGTCTGTGTTTTGATTGCAGTAATTTGTGTGCAAATCCTAGGCATGGATAAGACTTCCTTTGAAACTATCATCTTGCCAACTACTGTCTCCCTTGTTTAATTCTTTCCGCAGTGGACTGGTTTCCTGTTGTGAGAGAGCTGGTTAACATTGGATTAAAAGCATTTGCCTTGTGCGTAGCCACTTCGCTGTCGCTCCTGACCATCTCCCTGGGCTGGCTCTTCTACCGCCCTCTCTGGGCTTTGCTGATTGGGTTGCTCTCCGTAGTTCCGATTGTGGTTGCAAAGTCTCGTGTGCCACCAAAGAAGCAGCAGTGAGGGGGAGGTGGTTGGGGTTTTTTCGCTGAAGCCTGGTTAGAAACTTTTTGAGTGCGTTTCTGTCCCAGTTCGGGCAGCATGCTTACAGCATTTCAGAGCTCAGCAGCGTGCACTGCGAGTTGGGAGGGGGCTCGAATGTGATTGTTGATACACATTACCCATGAAAAATACGTGTCTACAGGATGCTGTTTGTGGGAAGTCAGTGACATCAGCTTTGGGGGTAAAAAGCATTTTGGAGTGTCTATATTGATTATATAGTAAACAGCAGATCTGTATCTCTTACCACATACTAATTTCCCCCAATTTGAGAACTGGGGCACCTTGTGTATTGTGGAGAAAGTCCCAGCCTCATCACATGGCATGGGATCAGATATCCTTAGGAAATAGGTGTGTGTACCTCTCTCCTGCCTTTTCTGACATGCACAGTCATGTGCACTCCTTTGGCTCATGCCTTTCCAAGTGTATGCATGCAAAGGAAAACCACAACTTAGTCGAATTTCACACAACACTGACATAAAACACGTGCTTTCAGACTGAGGATTTTCGAAGTAACTTGCAGTGATGAGTGGCCAGGTTAGCAGTGCTCTGAGGTGGATTGGGTTTGTCAGGAAGCCTTGATTTCCCCAAGGTTTTAAAAGTCTCTGCAAGTTGTTCTTGGTTCACATCCAAAATCGTAGCGTGGACTATACCCCTGCATAACTGTTTCAAAATTTTACCCTTTGAATTGCACATATTTAAGGGGATACTCAGAGGTCACTAACTTCTAAAAGAAAGCCTGCTGCCTGGAAACAAAATTAACTTTTATAATTGAATGTATATTCTTTGAAAATATTCAGGGTGTTTTTTTGCTGTGTATAGTTTCTTTCTTGAATTTCACTTAGTAAGGACAATGGACATACTCTGTGAAATTAAATCATGAAATTTTTGCCTGATTAGATTTCGTAGCCTAAATTTTGACCTTTATATAATGTTAGATTATCTTGTTTATATCATCTCGTAGTGGTGTGATGGCTCATGTTTACATATTTCTGCTGTAACCAGTACTTCAGATTAGAGATGGTCTTGCACTGTTTTTAAGTCTCTCTCTGCCTAGCTAGAGTCTGGCTTTGAGATGTGCCCTCTCTACACTACAGTGTTGTGTTTTTTCTGTAACTATACACAATTCAGTAAAAAATAATGTCTTAATTTATGAAATCCAGTTATGGCCATTATGAGAAATGTGTTAAGGAGCTTATACAGAAGCAAATGTTTGCTACAAGCGGTACTGAAACAGACATCTGAGTTACAAATCATATTTTGAGAAGTAGTAATCACCTTATTAGCTTCAATCCTTTTCATTCTTCTAGTATTTGAATGTTGTCATTCGGTCTCATGGCTAAAAGTAGTAGTGAGTGAAAGGTTATGGAAAGCACAGGGGGTCTCGGGCCTGCAGCTGGCCTATGTTAGTGATCTTGCACCATCTTCCCGCTGCTCACTAATGCAGCATTTTCTCCATCAGTTAAGAATTGCACTCCACTGGGGAGAAGCAGAAGCTGTTGTCATACTAGTGGTGCAGGAAACTAACCAGCCTTTTCGAATTAGACACGATGATATAATTTTCTACAGATGTGCTGAGCTTTTGTATATTTAATAAAATATGATTTTCAAAAGGTTGGTCTGTAAATTCATTTTTTATTACATTTAAATATTGCACATTTCATGTACAGGAATAGTGCCCAGGTACACGGAGGATTAGCTTGTAGCTTCCACGTGAACTAGTGTTCTTAGTGAAGTACACAGTTGGGTTTCATCCTGCAGATATTTCCCCGTGTTGGGAAGCAAGTTCCAAATACCAGCACGGCTGCTGTCTGGTCCATGCTCCTCTTGGTGATGACAGACTGATTTCAGCCTACTGAGGTTTTACTTATGTGACAGGACCTTCCTTGCCGCCATCCAATTATTTGAAAAATAGGATGGTGCAACCTGACCGGATACAGCATCTTGTATTTTTAAAGAAACGGGGGTTTGCCCATGCATTCATCAGCTTAAAATACTTTTGTCTTGCATAGTACTGTGTGCATGGGACTGACACAAGCTGAAGGAGACTCCGTGGGCAGACAAGCACTTCATGTTTCCCAGGCCAGGTGTGCCGGCGGAGCTGAGGCTTGCTTTCAGTGCACGCACAAAGACCATGTTTCTGTAGAAACAACTGAAGCAGGATTTGTTCTGCTTCCTTACCAAAATCTGACAGAATCAGATCTGTCAGGCATCTCCCCTTGCCACTTTGAGGTTCCCCTTAAGGCATATTTATTCTTTCATCTTTTGCCTGCTTAGTTCAGGAGAGCTGGCTCCCTGCAGAGCCAAGGAGCAGGATCCTGCCAGCTGGAGATGTTACTGTCTCTCCCCACTGACTGGAAGCAGCCACCAGACTGATAACTCCGTGTCTCTGTGCTGAGTGGCCCAAGTCAGGGAGCCCAGAGTCGCTGTGGTACAGCTGCTGCAGCATTTTAAGCAGATGAAAAACCACTGATACTGGCAGGAGCAGGACGTGGGCCCTTGCATTCAAAGCGCTCGTCTCGGGGCGTATCCTGCGTGTCGGCACGACAACCACCACAGAGGATACTACAGCTTCTCTGCCCTCTGCAGTTTTGCCAGTTTGTGCAAGATTGAGAATTTTTCTTGAAGCCTTATATACAAGTTATACCCACTCCCCAAACCTCCAACGTAGATTGGTCTCTATTTATTTGGGATTCAGTGGCAAAAACTAAAAACTCAGCATGAAGTCCCTTAACATTAAAAAAATCCACAAGCAGCCAGCTCTGGGGTACCCTGGGACCCGTTTTGTGACTTCTGGCAGTCCTACAGTGTCCTCTTACCCTTGCATGAGAGTCCTTCCAGGGGAACAGAGCTGCTTACAGAAGAGTGAGATGGCTGGAGGGGAGGTGTAACAAACAACATTAATCTTTTCCCATACTTTATTTCGTTCTACAAATAAAATAGAAAAATAAAGATTTTTTTCTGAACATACTTAAAGCTAAGCCATTTTGTTGCATTTCAGTATTTCCTCTGTGACAATGTACAGCAATGACTAGACTGTATTCCCCTCTAATTCTGAAGAGACAGTGTCAGTGTAATTATAAAAATAATGCAAAAGACAGATCAGCATTTCTATTACAAAAGTGCAGGAAAAGCTTGTGTAGATTTAACATTCCTCTCTCAACAGGTTTTCAATGCTTAGGTATTGGACAACATGCACAAGAGTTCTCTGGCTTCAGTCATTTTGTTTCTGACAATGACACTGCCACTTTTACAAGTTCTGCTCATACATATCCACGTGGTCTTGATCAAACAAATACGTATATATTCAAGTTACTTAAGAAGACATATTTAACCTTAAGTTTGAAATGAGGACAGGGCTTCTCCCTTCTAACACACAAGACTTCTAAGACTGTAGCCTGAAAAGCCAAAACAGACTTTTCACAAAAGGCAGGTATTCCTTAGAAAGTAAATTTTCAGACTCCTCCAAATCTTGATTGCGTGTTTCTTTACATGTTAAAGGAAGTGTTTCCCCTTCTGTGATGATGAGACAGTAAGACCAGAACTCTGCCTCACCACTGCCTTGGATAAAGTATGACTCAAAGAGGGCATTAGTAGCCCTTTGGCCAGCTCACCACAGACTGTTAAACGGCAGCTGCATGCTTCAGTTCTGAGCAAGCAGCTAAAAATGGAACGAAGAAAAATGGCAAAAGCCAGTGCTGATGAAAGGGATGCCTCAGAAAACAGAATTATGAGTGCTGAGTGATACAGAAGAGAGCAAAAAACCCCAACAGCACAAAGTGATCTTCTCAGAAGGTATGACTGCACACCTGCTTCTCCTAAATCCAAGGATAAAAGGATGAGTCCAGTTACCTGTGACAGCAGAAGAAACTCTTGAGAGTGGATTAGGTTGGTGCCTGATAGCTCGGAAATATGAGTGCACGGGAAGACCAAGTCCTTAACTGGCAGGATACTTCTATTGTGACTCTTGTTCTTGCCACTGGAAATGGCAACAAAAAGCTTGTGCTGATCACAGTTTCTCAAAAGGGAACAACTGTGCTGCTTCTCCTTTCTTCTCTCGCTTGCACTTTCTGGTTGTCTTCTCCTCTTTTTTCTTCTCTAACTGGCGATTCTGGGGCCAACAAAGGGCCAAATTCTCTACTGCGGTCTCTGAACTCAGACCTCCCTCTTCATCAGAAGAGATACTCGCTCCTTCCTTTGTCTGGAGTGCCGATGGCTCCGTCTAGAAAAATCGGGCATGAAAATCAAGAAATTTCTTTAGAGATCACTCCTAACTACCCCTTTCTAAGAGGGCTTGTCTTCCATCACAGCCACACTTAATGACATTACAAAAGCTTGTTGCTCTGGTCTGTGTTTCTGCATTCTTTCAACACAAGCAAAATATTTTTGTCAATGGAAGAACAAAAATAAACCTGTGTTAATAAGATCACGCTTTTCACCTTTCTCAGTGGGGAAAAGATTAAGAACTAAAACATCTGTTGTGCATAACAAAAGCAGCCCACTCTCATCCTATTAGCCACATGCTTGGCTTGGAGCAATATATCTGGGAAGAGAGTATGTCAAAACAGAAAATAATACCAAAAATTGATGCTTTAGGAAACACTAATCTCTTGTTAAACAATAATGAGTCTTTCACAACGTAACCACATAGAATTTCTACCGATTGGTAGTCACATGCTAACAATAGGAAATAAGATTTTTGAGGAACTATGGTCTGGAAGTTCTATACTTTACAGCTGGAAAGATAACACACTGGAAATGCTGGGAAAAAAAAATCTCTTGGTAGAGAAATATCATCCTGAGAAAGAAATCACTAACAGAAATGCGGAATACCTTTACGGAGTAGCGTTGCTTCAGTCTCTCTCTGATGAGAAGTCCTTTGGTCAGCAGCTTCCAATTCCCCAGAGCTCTTTTCTCACGCTTCTGTGTGGGTTGGTTATTGAAAAGAGAAAAATTTACCACTG